CCTTAAGGAGGAAAGATACATAGCCATTTGTTACAATGTATATTGTTAAACTAAATCACATCTCTATCTCAAGTACAGAAAGCAGACAATGCATTATTTCAGGTTTGTGGGGTGTTTAGTAGACTTACAGAAGCAAAGCATAATGCTTGTCAGAGCCTGGAGGATAAAGGATAATGTGAAATGCTTCCATTTTAATATGTAGGAACAATGATTGTACATTTTAGCTATTATGGTTACCTTAGTTATCAACTTGATTACATTTGGGCATATCTATGAAGGACTTTTTTGATGGGATCACATAGGGGAAAAGACCCACACTAAATTTTAGACATACCTCCTGATCTGGCTTTCATAAAAAGACAGGGAAGAAGGAAGCTTTTTTTCCTGCTTGCTCTTACTCATGCTGGTAAGTTTATCCCACTTCTGAGGCATTCCTTCAATAGCATTAGAAACTTTTTCTTGGGATTTCATATAGACTGAAGACCAGCTGGGATATCTAACACTGTGGACTGAACAACAATCAGATTCTTATATTTTTCATTTGAATATTGCTGTCATTGGACTACAACACCTCTTCTATTATATTAATTCATTCCATTATGTTTCTCTAGAGAACCTTGACTAAAACAATAGTTTATAACATTATCTACTGTTTATAAATATGAAAATCATGACAAATAGATATAGTTATTTCTAACTACAAAATGATTTAAAGAAATAATCAGTCACTTGAAGTGATAAGTGTGTTATTTACTTACTTATAGTGACCATTTCATATAGTAGACATTGACCAAAATATTAGTGATATACTTGAAATACATGTAATTACCACTTTTAATTTTACACTAATAAAAATCTAGAATAGAAGGAGCCATTATAAGTTTAAAGTGAAATCTGGCACTAGGGAAATATCCAGAGATCTACAAGGATGACACCAACTAACAATCTAAGCAATAGTGGAGAGACTGCCTTGAATTCCTTTCCCTGATAATGAGATTGACAACTACCTTATATGCAATCCTAGAGCCTTCATCCTATAGCTGATGGAAGCAGAAGTAGACAACCATAGCTAAACACTGAGCTGAACTCCTGGAATCCTGTTGCAGAAGGAGTGATGGGCAAAGGTGTCAAGACCAGATTGGAGAAACCCACAGAAACAGCTGACCTGAACAAGGGGGAGCTCATGGACCCCAGACTGATAGCTAGGAAACCAGAATAGGACCAATCCAGACCCCCTGAATGTGGGTGTTAGTTAGGAGGCCTGGGCAAACTATGGGGCCTCTGGTAGTGGATCATTATTTATCACTAATATACAAATGGACTCTGGGACCCCATTCCACATAAAGGGATACTGCCTCAGTCTAGACACTTGCTGGAGGGCCTACTTTCTGCTCCAAATGATACACCAGAGTTTGAAGATACCCCATAGAAGGTCTCAGCCTCCCTGGAGATCAGAATGGGTTTGAGATAGGGAATTGGTGGGGGAGCAGGGGAGGAGGAGAGGGAGAGGGAAATGGGATTGACATGTAAAACAAGATTGTTTCTAATTTAAATAAAAAAGAAGAAAAGACTTCAAAGAAAGTAAACAATATTGTTGATGTTTCTAAAACATGATTATATACAATATCACTATAGGCAATTAAAGTTCTTAGTAGAAATTTTTACCCATAAAGCATATTCCAGTGGAGATTTATAGATTAGGTTGCTATATTTGTAAACAATTGGTTAAAATTTAGTCATTTTTGTTATCAATTTTTAGATGAATTCCTACAGATACTTATTTTAGGTGAGTAAAATTTTTTGAAATATGTATTAATATGTGTGGTAGACTAGTGACTGCAAAATCCATTTCAGTAGCTATTCTCTGAGGTATCTGAAAGAAATAGACAAACCTTCAACTTGTATTCTCTTTTTCTACCCCTGTACTCAAACACAGTCTACTAGCTGGCCTCTAAAACTATATAAACTTGAAATTTTCCCTGTAAGGAAGATCCCTGCATTTGAATTAAGCCTTTGGTAACTAGTTCAAAATTAATATCAACTGGGAAAATTAATTGTCAACTGGGAAAGTGTAGGTTAAACTATATACTCACTGTGATTTTTATGTGTGAGATTTTATACAAACTCTTTTTGGCCCTGATTAGACTTTTTTATTTGGTAAGTTCTCCTCAAGTTGTTCACTCATGATTATTTTCATCAAAGGTTATGCTTCTGTAAATCTATAGTTGTTTTCCTTGGGGGCATATCTGGAGATGCATAACCCTAACTTCAGTATTACAAATAAAGTCCCAATGATTCTAATTAGAGGAAAATCACCATTGGAGATACAATGATATGATAGTTTGTCATTATGTGCTGTATAAATATCCACAGGTTTTGCTCTTCCTTTAGAGCATTTGTCTATATCAGTATTCATGTATCTGGGTTTTCAAAATCTGAAATGATAAACCCAAAAAAGAATGATGGGATGCAGATTCAGGCTATTTACATCCTTCAGGGAACCTGAGTTCAACTATACCTACAGATTTCTATACCCTAGATTCCAATGTTTTAAAGGGTATTTTATTATTTTAATTTTCTATGTAAAACATAAATTATAATTAGTTTTATTATGCATTCACGGTATCCAACAAAATTCACCCATGTATCCTCAGCATGCATATTTAATATTTTTTATTATTTCAAGAATTTTTTCAAATGAAAGATTTCAGATTTCTATGTTGCAGATCCATACTAAAATTTTTGTCATTATAGCATATTCCAAACATACAATTTAAAAGTCCCAATAAGGTGAAACAGTTTTATGTATTTTTTCTGAAAGACCGAGCAGTCAGAATTCTTGCAAACATGAAGGTGGAAGCAGTTCAAAATCCAGATTGGCACCTGTATAATTTTGCTCCTTCTTAAGAAGTGGAATCAGTGTGTGAAGTTGTCATCATTCAGGACCAGTAATCAGAAACCATACTCCTGAATTTGGGCTGAATGAACATGCCCTTACATAGGTAACTAACGATATAGACTTATTTGCAAGGGTCTTTTAACATTTTGTATATGAGGTGGTGATAATCATTCCTGTTAAGGATTCATTGTGACTACCAAAATGTATGTGGAGCCAAATAAAACTGCAATGCTTTTGGATGTCTAATGTTATAAAAATCTGGAATATGCTTTCCTGATTACTGTTTTAACAATAAATTTCCAGTGTAACTATTTGCAGGATCTTCCACTGGACAGGAAATTGATAGTGTCAATTCAGATATTCTCTTAGCAGTATTTAATGTGTTGAATATTAGAGGATAATGTATCGCTGCTGTAGTTGAATGAGGGTATTTTAAAAAACTAACATAACCCTTAAGCCTGTTGCTACTTCAGTTGACATAAATAACAGGACAAATAAGAGGAAGTATAAAACAGCTTTCAGGCTTAGCGAAGTGAGGAATATACAAAGAACACAGAATGGAGGTAGGTGCTCCCTTGAAAGTAATATAGGGCAAGAGGATAGATTTATTTTAAAGGGACATATGTAAGTGTAATGAAAGGATAATGCAATATAGGTAGAAAATTGATGATATAGTAAACATAGGGGGGATGCAAGAATAGTGTTTTTGGGAATGCTAAAGAGGTGTGTTGGTGAGTTAACTCAACTGGTAACAGTGCCTGCCATGGAACCTGATTACTGATTACTTGAGTTTCATCCTCCTCCAGGACCCACGTGGTGGAAAAAGAGATGTAATTCCTGAAAATTGTCCTCCTCCTGTGTGCTAAAGCATATATAAGTATATATTATATATTAGCTTCATATATGAAATCAATTCTGCATCCCTCCTTTGTCTCTCTTCCTTTCCCTCTGTCTCTCTCTATTGATCATTTCCTCCTGTGAATTTCATCCTATCATGTAACACTCCTTGCTTCTTCCTGAATAAACAGTATAAATATAAATGTTTGCAAGAAAATATATTATTTCACATTTTCTCATATAAAGCATTTATAATAAATATGTATCATATCACTTTATTGTAATTTTATGCTTAATTCTGTTTTGTTCAACCATCTTTTGGGTGTAACTGTTATCTTTTTAAATAGATATTTTTACATAATAGATTTTGTGTTCTATCGAGTTATTTATTAGCGTTTAAAATTTATTTTGCTTCCTGTGATCATAAGTAAAACAGCAAAGTGCTTCCTCATGTTCCATGACTTCAATTTCTTTGGAACAGGCTTAAAGGATACAACTGGTGAGATGATAAATACTTCTATTTTTTCATATTTCATGTCAAATTGTACCCAAAATATAAAATTTACATTGTATTTCAGAATACGAACATGTTCTTTTAAACTACACAAGTAATCTGTTGTTCATTTGAGAGTTATAGACTCGGTTATGATTTTTATTTTTCTGCTTATATTTGAATTTCAGCATCCTATAGTGTTTTTCATTTTCTACTAATATATGAATTTCAGTATCCTATCATGTTTTTCATATATTTGGATATATTTCTATTAATTTCTCTTTAAACATTATATTTTTCATTTAAAGTCTTTTTATATATTTTGATTTTTGATATTATAATATTACCTATTTTGTTGTCTTTTATTATTTTCTTGCATGCTTTGTTTCTTTTATGTATTTACTTGTTTTAATTTTACATTATATCCTTAATTCATATTATTTTGTTTTTTTTCTTATCGTGCTAGCTTCATGTCTGTTTTCTCAGCTACTATGTAGTTGTAAAATCTAGGTATAAGAGCTCATTCATTTGACAATTTGTTCTTTTCCAGCATATGTCTTTAATTCTTATATATCTTTCAAGTAACCTGTAACATCACTGAATTTGCAGACTCTTATTTGTGTTATCTAAAAGTTCTGGAATAAAATAAATCATGATCTCTGTATTCTTATTTCCAGAATGAATAAACAACTTTTTAAAATTTCATGAAGTCACTGGTATGATTTCCAATAATTTGTTTGACTACTGACATAAAAATATACAGAAGAATATATGGAACAAAGAAACAATGTGACTGAGTTTGTTCTCTTGGGCCTCACTCAGAGTCCTGAAGGCCAGAAAATATTATTTGTTGTATTCTTGGTCATCTACATTGTGACTATGGCAGGCAACCTACTCATTGTTGTGACTGTTGTGGTTAGCCCAAGTTTAGATGCACCCATGTACTTTTTTCTTGGTTACTTATCATTCATGGATGCTGTTTATTCAACTACAGTTACACCAAATATGTTTATAGACTTACTCTATGAGAAAAAAACTATTTCTTTCCAAGCTTGCATGACCCAGCTTTTTATAGGACACTTATTTGGTGGTGCTGAGATTTTACTCTTGGTTGTCATGGCCTATGACCGGTATGTGGCTATCTGCAAACCCTTGCATTATCTGACCATCATGAACCAGCGTGTGTGTGTTCTGCTATTGTTGTTAGCCTGGGTGGGGGGTTTTGTGCATGCTGTAGTCCAACTTCTTTTTGTATATAACCTTCCTTTCTGTGGTCCTAATGTCATTGACCACTTCATCTGTGACATGTACCCCTTGTTAAAACTGGCCTGCACAGACACATATGTTATTGGCCTCACAGTTGTTGCCAATGATGGGGCAATCTGTGTGGTCATCTTTATGCTGTTGCTTATTTCTTATGGGGTCATTCTTCACTCCCTGAAGAATCTCAGTCAGGAAGGGAGGCGCAAAGCTTTATCCACCTGTGGCTCCCACATCACTGTGGTAATCCTCTTCTTTGTTCCCTGTATATTTATGTATGTGAGACCTCCTTCTACTTTACCCATTGATAAATCGTTGACTGTATTTTACACTGTTATTACCCCAATGTTGAATCCCCTCATATATACTCTGAGAAATGCAGAGATGAAAAATGCCATGAAGAAACTTTGGACAAGAAAAAGGAAATGAAGTGAATAAAATAAGTCATAAAATGATGGCTGCTAAGAAAGGAAGTTAATCTCTAGGGACTGTTACTCTGATAGAATACTTGATCTCAAGTCATCCCTTCTAGATGACATACAAGCAACACTTACTGGATTCAGAAAGTTGTATTTATAAAGAAACAAATAAATATGTAAATATATATGAAACAATAATAATTGATAATAAGAGACCATGATTTTTTGAGAGAGTGAGATGGTATGGGTGGAGTTCGATGGAATAAAAGGAATGGGGAATTATTTTGCAGTACTCGTGAATGAAATTCTCAAAAAACGATAAATAATTAAATTTTAAAAATAAGTAAATATAAATGGTGAAGAAATAATTACAGATTACTCATATACACAATGTGGAAATCAGAAGATTATTTTAGAACACTTTCTCCTCAATGTTAATAACTATGCATAGTAAAAGCAATTATTTTTTATTTTTTATTGTTTATTTTTAAATTTAAATTAGAAAAAGGTTGCTTTACGAGTCAGTTCCAGGTCCCTCTCTGTTTCTCTCCCCTCCTCCTGTGACCTCCTCCCAATCCCCCTCAATATCCTCTCATTTCCCCAGGGAGAGTGAGGCCCTCCTTGGGGGTGTCCACAGTCTGTCATTTCATCCAGGGCAGGGCCTAGAACCTCCCCCAAGAGTTCAGGGTGAGAGTGCATCTCACATTGTTGGATGGGAGTCCACATTCCATTTGTGTACTCGGGATAAATACTGATCTACTGCCCAAGGCTCAATAGATACACAACTTTAATCTCAGGACTCAGGATTATGAGGTAGATGGATCTCTGTTAGTTCAAGGGCACACTGACTACATGAAATTGATCTAGTCTTAAAAGGAAATACTCACACAAAGGTGATCCCAGCCCCTGGGATCACATGCCTTTAATATCCATACTAGAGAGGTATAAACGACAGGAGCAGGGCCTCCAGTAGTCTGTCTCAGGATTATTCTCTAGCCAAGTTGGGGATTGCATAGCAGTCTGAGTAAATCTGAGGAACAGTGAAGTCGGGAACAGTTTGAGAATCGCCCCTTTTGTCTGAGCTGACAAAGAGGTAACAGCTAGTGGCTTGGCTGCTTTGCTTTTCTGATCTTCAGCTTCAGGCTTAAGCCTCAATATCAGTCTCTAGGTCTTTCATTTGTCATGGTATAGTCCTTGGTGTTTGTTGTCCCTCTCTGTATTCCCTCCCTTACAGCTCTCTACCATTCTTCTCCCCATTTAATCCTCTAGCTCTTATCTTGCCCCTTTCTCTCCCAAAATATGTGTTCTATTTACCTGACTTTTGAATATCATCTTCTCGTACCTCAACCCCTTATTCTATACCTAACCTCTACTGTTATTTGGATTATAGCATGTCTATTGAAGGCTTAAAATCTGGTATTCACATATCAGAGAACACATACAATATTTAGGGGGGTATTGGGTACCTCCCTCAGCATGATTTTTCTTCTGTATTCATCCATATAACTGCAACTTTCATTTTTAACAGCTGAGTAATATTCCATTGTGCAAATTTACCATAATTTCATTACCCATTCTTTCATTGATGGACATGTATGCTGGTTCCAATATCTGATTATTTTGAATAGAGGACTCAGTCCTAAGTGGGATGCATTCACTAAAACCCTTCTGCCTGTGATTATGGAGCTGTACAGAAGAGGTGATTGAAAGATTGTATGGGAATGGATGTCTTTAAATTAATACTCTCTTTAAGTTATAACAGAACTGATACAAATATGAATTTACAGAAACTGTGGTAGCCATAGTGGTCCAAGCAATTATAAGGGCAAGTAGATAAGACTCCCACACCAACCCAGAAGAAGCTATTTCCAATTCACAGCAGCTTGCTAATAAAAAATAATCACTTTTCTCCAAAAGAGTCTCATTTGATATATTAGACACACTTAAGGATGATGTTATTTTCCACCCACCATGATAGCAGTCTGCCTCTGGCATCAAAGTAGTTACATCATCCTCTGTTACCAGGTGCCTCTCCACCATCAGCTATGTGACATGTGCATTGTCCATCATTTTAAACATCTAGCAGACCTTACACACAGACCTCAAAGCTTTGCTTCATTTATTAGAGCCCCTCTTTGACCCTATCCATTGTCAAGGTTGTATTTTACAGGTTCACTCCTCCTGGCAGACATATGCTAAGGCCAGTCCACAGCGGGCCCTCCAGATATGTCAGTTGGTGCACTTCAAGGACACCAACATGGCAAGGACTGGAAGGCGGACTTCACCCACCTGCCCATTCATAAATATGTCTGTTATCTCCTAACTCTTGTTGACACTTTTACAGGATAAATAGAAGCATTTCCCTCATCCTGACAGATATGATATTTCAGGTACTCCTGGACCACATCATTCATCCATTTGGCATGGCACAGACACAGGAACAGACAATGGACCAGCCTTAACTTAGTTTCTTTTTATCTAAATAATTTTGTTTTATTCATAACAGCTAGAAATTTTAAATGAATACCCATCAACAGGCAAATTAATAACTAAATTATTATATAGTCACACAATTGACGTGTTTGCAATACAAGGACATGACATACACGACAAGGATTAATCTCAAAGAAGTTGTACTGATCAAAAGACCACCAAAGCATTCCAGAGTATTCTCAAGTCATTGCTATATATACTTGGAAGCTAATATTGTCTCTAGTTGATTAATCTCAAAATAAAGGTTTAAAAAGGTAAGAGTCTTTTCGATAAAATTGCTTACAAGAAGTTGCCTCTGTGTGCTCTGCATGACCCAGTAAAGAAGGAACAGGAAAAGAAAAATATGGATTCTATCCATTCCAATGAGAGGAGAGAAAGCTTCAGAAATTCACCAACGGAGTGACAAGATGGTTGAAAGCATGGAAAGACAGAAGGTGACAGGCCATAAAGAAGCGAGCCCTGCGGAGCACAGCTGCAGGTGCGCGGGTACAGCTGCAGATACACGGGCACAGCTCCAGATACACGGGCACAGCTGCAGGTGCGCGGGCACAGATGCAGATACACGGGCACAGCTGCAGATACACAGGCACAGCTGCAGATACACGGGCACAGCTGCAGATACACGGGCACAGCTGCAGGTACGCGGACACAGCTACAGATACACGGGCACAGCTGCAGATACACAGGCACAGCTGCAGATACGTCGGCACAGGTGCAGATACACGGACACAGCTGCAGGTACACGGGCACAGCTACAGATACGCGGGCACAGATGCAGATACACGGGCACAGATGCAGATACACGGACACAGCTGCAGGTACACGGGCACAGCTGCAGATACACGGGCACAGCTGCAGGTACACGGGCACAGCTGCAGATACACGGGCACAGCTGCAGGTACACGGGCACAGCTGCAGGTACACGGGCACAGCTACAGATACACGGGCACAGCTGCAGGTGCCCGGGCACAGCTGCAGATACACGGGCACAGCTGCAGATACACGGGCACAGCTGCAGATACACAGGCACAGCTGCAGATACACGGGCACAGCTGCAGATACACGGACGGACACAGCAGCAGGTACACGGGCACAGCTGCAGGTACACGGGCACAGCTGCAGGTACACGGACACAGCTGCAGGTACACGGGCACAGCTGCAGATAAACGGGCACAGATGCAGGTGTGGCAGGAAAAGCGAAGCCTCATTCCAAAACAGTCTCTCTTCTCTCTGAGTTGTAATGAGGAGGTGCTCTCAACAGTAGACTGCTTGTTTTAAGCAGTTTTAATTTTATTTATTTATTGTGTATACAGCCTTCTGCTTGCATGCCAGCAGAGGGCACCAGATCTCATTCAAGGTGGTTGTGAGCCACCATGTGGTTGCCAGGAATTGAACTCAGGACATCTGGAAGAACAGTCAGTGCTCTTAACCGCTGAGCCATCTCTCCAGCCCCTCGTTTTAAGCAGTTTTAAGAGCGATCCAAACTGTGAGGACTAATCTCCACTGTCAACTTGAGTAGTTTCTTCTTTGGACCACAAGCTCACAAAAAAACAACACGGAGACTTACAATATTAACTATGAAAGCTCGGCCTATAGCCCAGGTTTGTCCCACTAGCTCTTATAACTTACATTAACCATTTACATTAATCTATATTTTGCTTTGTGGCTTTACCTCTCTTTCTTCGTGTACCTCCTGCTTCTTCTCCACATCCCCTGACCTCACTCCCTCCAGCACCTAGATTCATCTCTCTCTCTCTGCCTGAAATCCCGCCTCACCTCTACCTGTCTGCCTTTGGCCACTCTGATCTTTATTAAACCAAGCAGAAGGTGTCTTGGCAAAGACACATCTTCACACTGTACAAAAAGATTATTCCACAACAAACTAGTCTAGATTTGAGGTCACCATGAGATACTCCTTGGAGCACATCTGTGACTTAACTGAGGAGGGAAATGTAAGTGGCACCACTCTGGAGTACAGCTCTAGGTTGACGAAAGAGGGAGAACTGGGAAGACAGATCAGTCAATGCTTGCCCACAGCATGACAATCTAAGTTTAATTCCCAGAATTCACAGTTAAAGGAAAGGACAGTAGTGTTGCTTGCAATCCTAGAGCTGAGGAAGCAGAGACAGGTTCCTTTGGGCTCACTGGCCACCAGCCTGCTCATAAATCATGGTGAGCTCCAGGCTACCATTTATTTATCTAAACAAATAGATAAATAAAAATAAGGTAGAAATGCAGAGAGATGTCTCAGTGGTTAAGAGTGCTTCCTGCATAACCATAAGGATTGGAGTTCAGATCCCAGCACTCACATTACACGCTAGGAATTGTACACACAGACATACACATATATGTGTGCACACACACAGACATTACGTACAAATAATAAATAAGTAAATATGATAAGAAAGGAGGAGAAGGAGGAATACAATGAGAAAACAAAGTGGAATGCCCCTAAGGAACAATACGGGAAGTTGACCTCACACATACACACACATGTGAGCACCTGTGCTCACCTCTCTGCTTCCTAAACATAGACATAGTGTAACCAATCATCTGTGTTCCACTGCTGTGTCTCCTGTGCCTTCATGGACTGTATCCCCTCAAACCATAAGCCTTCTCCTCTGTAGGTCACTTTCTGTATTTACTATGGTAACAAGAAAAGTAATG